ATATCGTACTACGGTGGAGTCAAGCACAAAATGTGGTGGGGGCTTGGGCCGGGATGTGACATTAACTTTTTATTTATTTATTTTTATCTTAAACATGTGAGAGATGGGACCTTAGTTCCTCTTTTATTTGTTTTTGTCTCTCTTTTTCTTAAATCCCATTCTTTTTCTCTCTTTTTTTGTTGGTGGGGTATAATGATTTCTCAAATTTCATTTATTAAATTTCCAAATATTACAATATACTCACACAAATACAAGTATGATATGCATTTCTAATAAGGTCAATTCTACATTGTAGCTCATTATGGCTTATTCTGATAAGTTTCAAATGATAAGTATATGTTGTACAATTAATTTTTGTAAAATTTTTTTGGTCAGAATTGTTCATGAGATTGACATAACTCATCATTGATCCATGCCATTGAAAATGATAGAAGTGATCCCTGAGTTTGTCGCAATAAATCATTTTCGTCATTTCATGAAAAATCTGTCAATATCATCGTTACATTGTAATGTAACGACCACGTGACCACCTTTTAAGGGTATTTTTGTCAAACCAACAACTCCACTTAACAAGGATATTAATAGATGCGTAAGAACCCACATGATTTCCGATAGATAAATTCAGAGACTACTTTATCGATTTTCAATGTCAAAGACCAAGATGAAGAGTTATAATAATCTCATAAACCATTTTGGCTAAAAATTCTTTTTGTAAATATCTCACCATTTGTCAATTAAAAAAAATAATATTTCTCAAATATCATCCATTCAATATCAATTAAACATAATCCAATGAAAAACAAAGAAGAGAATACTAGAGGATTAATTGAGAAGTTTGAAAGTTTCTTCCCTTTCAAGCAATAATCTTTTGATTAAAAAATAACAAATGATGGTTTCATAGCTCAAAGCAAACAAAATAATGATCCTTTTTTCTGGTCAATGAAAATAATGAGCTGTTGATCCTTGTTTAAAGGCGATTCAATGCCTAAGATTTATATTTTGGAAAAAAGCACGAAGACAATAAGTAAAGAACAAAATGTTAACAAGAAATAAGAATTACCAGCCAAATTAATTAATTAATTATTTTTTAAAAGCCAAAAATAATTTAAAAAATAATAATAATAACGAAGACGGTTACCTCAATCTTTCCTCCACCTCCACCACATTGGGTTGGACATCTCATACTCCAATGTCCATTCTTTTAAGCCTTATCACCCAACTCTGTTTGCATCCAACACTATATATATTCCCTCCAAACCCCACACTTTTCTTCCCATACAAGCAAAAAAACACCAGCAACAATGGCATCTCCTTCTACTTTCTCTCCCATTTCCCTCTCTTCTCTTTTCCTTTTCCTTCTCCTCCTTCCACTTTCATCATCTGCATTGAACCCCGCCAGCGGCCGCCTTCCCTCGTCTTCCCCCGCCTTCTCCGCGAAAGGCCAAGCTGAGAAGTTCATCAGAGCCCTCAACTTGTTCCCAAAGGATGATGTTAACATTTTGTCCCGCAAACCTTCGCTGGATGCTGAGGCAGATGCTGGTGTTGAGATTGTGGAGAAGCAGTTCAAAATGCCTTTTCTTGACGCCGCTTCCGGTCCTTCTGCTAAAGATCTTGGTCACCACGCCGGCTACTACCGCCTTCCCCATTCGGAGGGTGCAAGGTAAGAGCAAAAGGGTTGGTCTTGAATTGCACTAGGAATCAAATTTGAGTTGGGAAATCGAAAACTCCGAAATTCTTGGACTGCATTATATTTGAATCCGATTACTTTTTGCAGGTTGTTCTACTTATTTTTCGAATCAAGGGTTAACAAGAACGACCCTGTTGTGATATGGTTGACCGGAGGGCCGGGATGTAGCAGTGAACTGGCTCTGTTTTATGAAAATGGCCCTTTTCACATTCAAAACAACTTGTCACTCACTTGGAATAACTATGGCTGGGACAAGGTGCTGTAATGGTTTGGACAAGGTGTTTTTTCTTATCGGTTTTCGCTTCTTTGTGTTTCTGAACAAGTTCTTGTTTGGCAGGCATCAAACATTCTTTACGTCGACCAACCTGTTGGAACTGGTTTCAGCTATACAACAAATTCGAGTGACATTCGTCATGATGAAGCAGGCGTCAGCAACGACTTATATGATTTTCTGCAGGTCCTAATGATTATCTCATGTTACATACAATCGTCGTTGATGTGTCCCGAATGATAACTGTTCACGCACGAGTGAACTATTGCCACTAAACTGACCTTAAATTTACCAGCTTCTCTTCATGATTACAGGGATTTTTCGCTCTACATCCTGAATTTGCGAAAAATGACTTCTACATCACCGGAGAGTCATATGCTGGGCACTATGTTCCCGCGCTTGCTTCTCGGGTTAACAAAGGAAACAAAGCAAAGGAAGGGAATCACATAAATCTCAAGGTATCCCTAATAGTTACAATGGACTGACTGCATTTGATTGCTTCGTCATGGTCGTTCTGATCTGATCTGTTTATCTCCTACGGTTGAACAGGGTTTCGCCATAGGTAATGGGTTGACCAATCCGGGAATCCAGTACAAGGCATACACTGATTATGCACTGCAAATGAAGTTGATTACAAAAGCAGACTACGACACTATATCGCAGACAATTCCAGAATGTGAAGAGTCGGTGAAGGCTTGCGGTATTTTCCTCTTCATTTCCTCTGTTCTTCACATACCTGTTGATTACAATCTCGTATGAGATTTAATGGTCATTGTACAAGATTATCTGACTTGCGAATTTTCTGATGTCTGAAACTATCAGACGCCTCTAAGAGTGGAGACGCTTGTGAGGAGTCGTTAAGTATTTGCAACAGCATATTTTACCAGATAATGCAAAGAAATAGTGGTATAAATGTAAGCAAAGCGGAAAAACCTTTATCATCGTCACAGCTATAAGTTCTAAGAAACAAATCCAAGTATGCTAAGAATCTACTTTGTTTTGGGTATGTGCAGTACTATGATATTAGGAAGCAATGTGAGGGGAGCTTGTGCTATGACTTCTCAAACGTGGTGACATTCTTGAACAAACAAACGGTTAGGGATGCCCTAGGAGTTGGGGACATCGAATTTGTGTCATGCAGCTCTACGGTATATTATGCTATGCTGAATGACTGGATGAGAAATCTGGAAGTGGGAATTCCTGCCCTCCTTGAAGATGGAATAAAGTTGCTCGTGTATGCCGGGGAGTATGATCTCATCTGCAATTGGCTTGGTGAGCTTCTTTGTTTCAGCGAAAAACTCATGTTGCATGTATTAGCGAGGATAATGTACTTTCGGTAATTTTCATATTATGATGTCTCTCTATTTCGTAGGGAATTCAAATTGGGCTCATGCCATGGAATGGTCCGGTCAGAAAGCTTTCGTAGCAGCACAAACTGTTCCATTCAAGGTTGCGGGTGCAGAAGCAGGACTGCTAAAAAGCTATGGACCTCTAGCTTTCCTCAAGGTTCATAATGCTGGTCATATGGTTCCAATGGATCAACCGGAAGCTGCATTACAGATGCTTACAAACTGGATGCAAGGAAATCTGGCCGTGGCTGAGTCAGCCAAAAGAGTTGCTCCCAACTGATAGCCTCAGATCCTAGCCTGAAAACACTTGGTTTTCAAAATGGTGTCTGTTGGGCAGGAATACTTATGATATACTTGTCCATAGCTATAGTTACCATGCTTGCTTTGACAGGCAAAAAATTTCCCAATATAGAGTCCGGGTTTATACAAAAAACGGTTCACTATACTATTTCATCCTTTTTAACGGTGTTCCTTGTCTTTTGGAAATTCGACTGACCTAGTATTCACAAAGCCTGCATATTCTTTTAAAAGTTGACAACTACACAGCAAACTTGGGTAGATGATTCTTTGGAGAACTATGCAGAAGGCCATGACTTTCTGCGTCGTTGCCAACTTGCTACACAAACACACATAAATTGGTACCATTGGCTTAATTTTTCCTAGTATATAGGCAGGCAACTAAAATGCCATCACGGATGTATCATGATTGGGCATTAACGCGTGCTATGTGCTTTGAGAATGCAGTGCAATTCAATATCGATGAAAATAACAAAAATCAATCAGTAGTATTTGCAACCACATAGCATACAGTAGATGAAAAACAACAGTCAAGAGCTTCTTACACCATACAATTGCCTCAAGCTCACTTGCTGGCTGAAAACCAGATCTCAATGGAATAACTTGGATCACTTGCAGATGTTGTGCATCCCCGTTCTATGGTTTGGATAGTGTCAGTCTAAACTTCTCTCCGTCCAGAATTCTACTAGCATTAACAGCTGCACGAAACATCCCAAAACAGAAATATAAGGTAGGTAGAAATGGAGCAACCCAACGACGTAAATCATTACTGGAAAACGATAGTTGTAGAAGTTGAAAATCAAAGCAAGTTTCAAAAAATCACCAATAAGAAATTTCTTGAAGATGAACATAAAAAGCCAGTCATCGCAGAATACGAAAGACTGAAAAAAGCATATGGCTGCTAATAAAAAGTTGCTTTAATATTATATCTCCAAAGTATACCACATTGCAGTTGACTACGAAAGCATCAAAAGATGAGTCACAGTGGGAACATTAAGATTAAATTTTGTACCCGCACCATTGGACCTGAGCTCAAAATCCACATAATTAGAGTAGCTTAAAATAGAATAATGCACTGTCAAAACAAAAGATTAAAATTTGAATGGTGTTTATTCCTGCACAGTGAAAAGTTACAAACACATAAACATTCACAGTTTCTGATGTAAATGGATTGGGGGTGTGGTGAAATTTTGAGGCGTGAAGGGTGGTTTTACCAGCAAAAGGGTGAAACTTGTAGAAAAAGATATGTAGGCTGAAAAGTCTATTTCATTGATACGTGAATAAGATTATATACAATTACATTCCTTGCATAGCAAGGCAATATCCCTACAAGTTAGGAATACAACTACAATTAGGATTACAATTATACATAGACTCCAACTATAGTTCTACTTGTCTAACAAAACTTGGCGAAGTCAAAAAACTCATCAGCAGAGCACCCAAACAGAACCTTGGCAGCCCTATCAAAGCATATCACATTAAGCACTTTTGTATCCGAAGCTATTGACATCTGCCAAAACAACCCAATGAGAATCACTTAATTAAAAAGCAGTTCTTGGAAAGCACTTTGGAAATGAGCAAACAGCTTTCCAAGAAAAGGGTAGAGAGTTACAAGAAGGCGAAAGAGGCGTTTGGTGCGAGGCAAGCGGGTTTTGAAGGCATTGAGGCTGTAGAATTTGCAGAGGGAAGAAGGGTTGTCGGGGAGAGTCTGCTCGCAGACGGAGCAGACTCTGTAGGAGAAGCCGGTGGTGTTGTCTATTGCTAGCAATGTGCAGATCATCGTCGTTGGCTTATCAGCTTCCATGGCTCTCAGAAATCAATCGCTCACGGCTTCACCTACTTCACTGCTTTTCTTAAAATAAAGTCGTGGGGAAAATGAAAATTTTGGAAGCGGGAAGGAAAACTTTTTAAAAGTGGAAAAATCAATATCTATCTAATGTTTGCCCTAAAACCATGAGTCGTGTAAGAGTTCCATGTATTGTGTCGTGATGAATTGGAATGGTTTGATGTATTGGAAAGATTTGATATAACTCTCCTAAGAATTAAGGTTTTTGGTAAACATAAATAATGGGCAGTAAAGACGATTTTATGTGAGGAACGACTTGGCTATCGAGAAAAGGATGTGTTGTGATTTGAGAGAACAATGATAAGTGAATGAATGTGTACCATGGATGATAATTTACATAACGAGACACTTGAGGCCAAAACATGGTATGAGACATGTTTGGGTTAATATTTGAATATTGGGCTTGAATGAGGGAAGGTCCAAGGATACCAACTTAAATGAGGACTTGCCCGAAGCCTAACATCAAGCCCATAGACAAACTAAAGCCCTCTCAGCCAAGGCATAGGTCATGTGCCTATGACTGAAGTGACAATTGACAGAGACCAGCTCACTACCAGCCAAAAAGCAATTTCTAATGGCATAAATGTGTAAATACATGATGACTCACTTCCCCTAAGAGCCTTCGCCCAAGAACAATGCTCTAATAGTCAGGCCAAATCGCCTATAAAAGGAAGAAGAGACAATAGAGACATTGACACTCAACCAACGAAACAAACAAGCATACAAACTCTGCCCTCAAGCCAGATTTGCATTCAGAAAAACTGAAACCAACCTAGATTCATTCTTTTTAGTCATAGTCTCCTCAGAAAAGCTATTTTTTGTCTAGTTTAAAAGCTCTGCTACCTTCCCTAGTGTTGTAGTATCAATTCCCTCGTATGAAACCTGTTTACCATCCATCACTTTTAGCATACAACCCCTGTAAACTCAAAGCAAGTAGGAACTGGAACTGGAACTACTCCTTATGCTTTAACCTTCGGGCAGGATGTTGTGCTTCCTATGGAAATCAATGTTAGTTGTATCAGACTCCAAAGCCGGTTTGGTCTACACAATGAGGAATACCTTTAAGCTATATGTCAAAAGTTGAAGATTTAGATGTAGCCCGAATTGAAGCCTTGAACAAAATCTAAGAAGGGAAGATAGTTGTTGCCTGAGCCTATAACAAAAAAGTGAAGTTGAAAAACTTCAAGGAATGAAACTTAGTATGGAAGGCAATTCTGCCCTTGGGAGCTTAACTTAGAGGTTTTGGGAAGTGGAGTCCCACTTAGGAAGGACTTTTCAATATCAGCAGTGTTGGAAAAAAGGGGTTACTACTTGGTAGATTTGGAAGGAACCTTGCAAAGGCATCCAGTCAATGCTAAGTTTTGGAAGAAATATCACCTAACCGTGTGGGATGTTAGAGATTGTTATATTGAGAAAGTCTAAGCATTTTAAGAAAGTCAAAGTTAGTTCTTAGATTTACCATAGTTAAAGCTTCAAGTAACCAAAAGGACAAGTTGATGGGAAGAAGGAAGTCATTTCATTTCAATAAGAGAAGGAAGTTACAAAAACTTTAGCTCAACAGTTTTAAATCTTTGGCCAAGGCAGATATTCTAGAGTAATATGTTTGCATAATAGTGAAAATCTTGCCAGGTTCTTCTAGATACATATTGTTATTGGCTAGTTGGGCTTCAGAGTTTTCAACTTCCTGGTTCACCTTCTTCACTTATTATATTTTCTTGTAAAGTTGACTTGCCAAAGTCATCTTCTCAGCCTTTAAAGTAGAAAGTTGCTCCTCCAACCTTTGAATCTCAGACTCTACCACCACGATCCTATCTTCCATGGCTGATCCCTCATATACCAGCTGTTAAAGTGTGGCCGATGTCGGAGTGTGTTTTCCTTTATAACACTTCACTCTGTTGGATGCCTGTTCCGCCTGCTGATGTTGATCCCTCAACTCCCGTAGATTCTCAAAGAAATTGAGAAAAGACTTGTATTGAGCCATTGACATTCACTGAGCCTTGTAGAGCTCAATCAAAGCCTTTTCAGCATCATGAAGAGCCTTGAGGCTGAAATAAGCTGTGAAATCTCTTCTCATCCATTCCCTGAAGACTTGGTGCTTATCTAGAGAAGTTGAGGTTCAGAATGACGCCTTGGAGATCTTAGGCTTGTCTTAATTTGCCCGAACTCTCTAACAAGCTTGGACAAAGAAGCCGTTACATGTATAAATGCAAGAGGTGGTGGGAACATCACTCTAGCTCCTCCGGAGGCAGAGTCAGTAAAAAGCAGCTTCGGTTGAAAGAGGGGGAATGGACTTAGAAATAGGAGTGGAAGTGGTAGCAGCAATCTTCTTCTTCTTTGGCCAAGGAATAGGGATCTCCGTAACCCCAGAAGCCAAAATAGGCCTAGGAAGAACTGTTTTATGCACTAAGGGTGGAGGAGATTGGCATGAGCCTTCGCTAGAACCCTGTTGCAATCCAAGAAAAAATGGATTAGGAAGACAGTCTACAAACGAAATTAAAAGACGGAAAAAGAAAGAAGTAGAGTTTGTATACTTGGGTTGGGCTTTGAGCCTTGAAAGAAAGAGGAGGAGTTGATGTTGCCTTTGACAGTTGAGGAGGATCAGCCTCGCTTGTTGAAGGAGGAGAAGTGTTGCCTAAGCCCGCACTAGAAACCTCAAACACCAAAAGAAAAGACAACTGTTAACAAGCTAACTTGTGCAATGAAGAAAATAGAAGTAGAAACACTTGTATACTTGAGCAAGACCTTGAACAAAAGAATGAGGCATCTTTGTGGTGGTAGTGGCCTTAGGAAAAACCAGGGGGTTGGCCTGAAAAGTAGCTTGTGGGAGCCATCAGGCTAGTCACTTCTGAGACCATTGGGATCTCAGGGACTATTGGCTCCCTAAAAATGGTTAGTGGTAGTTAATAGGCCTCATGCACGGGAGAGGATTAGAAAAAGATCAAAATAAAGTATGAATATCAGATAAGAAGAACTTCAAAAAGGGATTTAGGAAGATTTGATGGGAAGAATACTTACTGAAGTGCTATCTCCTCCACATAGTGCAGCATTTCCCCAGTCATTGGATCGAACTGAGAAATTGGAGTCACCACAAGTGCTGGAGAAAGAGTCGAATAAGTGGAAGCAAAGCTCTGCCCGACTGAAGATGCAGGTTTTCCAACCTTAGCCTATGAAGGAATGGAAATTGGTCATTAACTTCAAAATTTGTAAAGTCACAAGCCTTATCCAAGAAAGAAAAGAAGTATACCTTTAAAGGTTTAGCCTGAGACGGGGAAGCATGCACCACTCGGGTCAAAGGAGAAGAAGCTTTGAGCTGAGAAATCCCTTCTTCCCTGGTGTTCTGTTTCAAGCAATTAGGCAAATGATTAATACAATGTTTAAAGAAGGAAAGACTTCAAAGAGGCGACTTAGTGCTCAAAAGAATAGAGGCCATACTTTCAGCTCCTCAAGGATAGTGTCAAGAAGCCCCTTGTGCCTTTGGTGCATTTCTGCACCCAATGGTTTCTATCTTGTAGCAAAAGTAGGTCTTTTGGTTGCTTGAGGCCCTAGTTAAAAGAAAGAATGAGGTATTAGCTCATGGCCCCAAGGAAACTGAAACTATAACCAATAAAAGAAGTTTACTTACTGGAAAACTTCTGCTTTTTCCTGCCCACTTTAATTGAAGGGGCAGGGAAAGATCTGAAGGATTTGGAAGCTTTGGAGGTTTGAGCCCTAGTCCTCTTCCTTGTTGGAGTTGCCCATGAAACAAGCAAGGTAAGTCAAGGCTTGGGCTGTTCTTCAGGCTCAGACTTCGAAGTTTCCACCACAACTGCCCTTGCCTGTCTAGGTGCCGAATTCTCTATTTTAGGCCCGTCCTTATCCTCAAAGTCCCCGAATAGCTCAGAGACATCCCCAGCCTCTTCAGCAGCGTGTTTGGACCCAGTTTCCTGTCTGACAGCCTCGGTTGTAGCCTCCTGAATGACCAAGGCATCTGTAGCTTCTTCATCCAGCATGACATCCATTTCTCCAATTTTGTCTTGGGTTGCCGGTTCAAAATAACCAAGAGAAAGGTTAGTGGAGGACAGATTATAAAAGCATCATAAAGTACAAGTTAAGGCAATAGAAGATACCTATTAGAATAAGCTGGTTCTTCTGGTGGATCATCTCCTTCCAATACTTGAGCTTATTTAGCTTAGGATAGGATTTGATGGAGAGTTACTCAAAGAGACGATCATGGGACTCCTTGATATCCCCTCCATACTTCCTGGACCACTTAGCCTCCTACTAAGTAGAAAAGAAAGGAGTGCACTCGAAGTTGAGGCCCATAGGCTTGCAGGTAATCATGCTCATCACATATAAGCTACGCTAAACTGCCCAAAATGTGACCTCCTGAGGAGAACGGAGGCGGTAGGAAGTTTCTCAGTGCACATAGACGAAAAAATGGATTGAAATGACTTGTATGAACCCCAACTGTTTAACGTAAAAGTTGGGGTGGTAGACTTCCAGCCTGCGCTCATATCCTGTGCGATCACTTCGCACTCCCCAAGCCAAACCCGTTGCTGGATGCAGTTCACTAACTTTTCCTTACAGAGTGGGTTAACGTCTTCCCTGAAGGCGTCTTGAAAGATTTGGTCTAAGAACCATGAGTATCTTCGCATAACAGAAGTACCATACTCCAAGTCTGCCTGATTCTTACGAACTCGGAAGAAATAAAGATAGGAGAATGTTAAATGATTGGTTGGGGATGCCTCAGCCAGAATACGAGCAGGAGCCACTCCTTTGGGGAACTCCAAGTTTGGCGCCCGAAGCTCGGGGAAATACCATTACAGCCACAACTGGACCATCTAGGTTGGCCCGTTAAGGTTAGTCTCAAAGGACTCACTCTTGGTCATCTCGTACAAGAGATGGTAGAGGTGGGCAATGAGGAAAAGCGTTGTGGCCACATCATCGAAGGAGTGCAGTGCCTCCACCAAAGGAATCCACTCTAACTTCACTTATTTAGATTTATTGGGGAATGCATGCTTGTTGAGCCAGTATAAGAGAAAGTACATATGCTCTTGGTCCCTATTTTCTATGGCAGAAGGCGGGCTAAAGGTGCTATTGGCAAACGAGATGAAGCCCGCAAATGAAGTCACATAGCTCTTGAATGTTGAATGTGTGTACTCCAGCCGAATGATGGAGTCAGAGTCGCTTGAACCTTCAACAGTCGGGCGAGATGAGGAAGACCAGTCATGGGTCACATCCACGTACTGACTCGAGGGCCTTAGCTTGAAGAATTAGCCCATGTCAAGGACGGTCAGAAGCTCAGGCTTGGCAACCACTGTGACCTTGAAGAGCATAATGAGCTCGTAGATGCCATTGTTCATCCACTTCTTTTTTAAAATAGGCTCGAGTTCATTTACCCATTATGCCCAGGCCTCGTCCTTCATCAAGGGAAAACCTCTTCGATGAGTAGACCATTTGGAGGAGGAAATGCCAACTTCAGTGGAATATGGGTTGGGGGTGAACCAATTTTGTTTGGGCATGTTGTTCTCCACAGCAATTGGGGCTTTGGAAGTCCAGGCAGGCCCCAGGAAGTGTACTCCTCTCTTCGAAGAAAATTGAAGTGTTCAGGCCAGCTCGATGGCGATGAAGGTCGTTGAGAAGGTGACGAATGTTGACAATAGCTTCGCCAGACTTGTATGCAAGACGAGTAGTTTTCGGTGCCATTGGATGAGTTTTGAAAAGATGGAAGAAAATTGAGGGTAGAAAGCAAGAAAAAGGTTGAAGGCAAGTGAGTTTTAGGAAATCTAGAAATTCTGGAAATTCGGAGGATTAGAATTGCTAAGGTATTTGGCTGAAGAATTTAAGTGAAGATTATATAAGGAACAGTTAGTTAACGTTGGAGATCGTGGGTTAGTGCAAAAGTTTGGTTAAAAACAACTGTTTAAAATGGTGCAAGTCTCGAGTAAAAGCATGCAATTCGTTTTAATCATCATTAAGGCCTCGGTTTACAGACTTAACAATGATTAAAAGGGGCACTGCTTGGGTTAATATTCGAATATTGGGCTTGAATGAAGGAAGGCCCAAGGATGCCAAATTAAATGAGGACTTGCCTGAAGCTCAGCATCGAGCCCAGAGACAAACTAAAGCCATATCAGCCAAGGCATAGGCCATGTGCCTATGACTGAAGTAACAACTGACAGAGACTAGCTCACTACCAGCCAAAAAGTACTTTCTAATGGCATAATGGTGCAAATACATGATGACTTACTGCCCTTGAGAGCCCTCGGCCAAGAACAAAGCTCTAACAATCAGGCCAAATCGTCTATAAAAGGAAGAAGAGACAACAAAGACAATGACACTTAACCAAATAAATAAGCATACAAACTCTGTTCTCAAGCCAGATTTGCACCAGAAGAGCTGAAACCAACATAGATTCAATCTTTTTAGTCATAGTCTCCTTAGAAAAGCTATCTTTTGTCTAGTTTAAAAGCTCTGCTACCTTCCCTAATGTTGTAGTGTCGATTCCCTCGTGTAAAACCTATTTACCATCCATCTCTTTTAGCATACAACCCCTGTAAACTCAAAGAGAAATGGCTGCAAGATATTCAACCTTGCCCGACAAGGTGAAATCTTGCCAGAGTTTCTTTGTTTGTCCCCTAAATTAGTAGATCTGCTGCTTAATGTACATTTCAACATGTATTCAAGTTATTTCCATCTGTTTTCTACTTAAGAGTCTCATTTGCATCTGGATCTGGTTACCTTAATAGATATGTTTTCATTAAGCACAACCCGGAATCAAGGAAATGGTCTAAAATGGCTCCTGACTCCCTTTATTCAAGCATACAAGATTATGAATTAAAAGTTAGAACTTAATGCAGACTTAACCTATCTGTGACAATCCTTTGATAATAAGAAGTTTGAGTATTTCAACATCTGTTATACTGAGATAGCAGTGACACGCCTAGCACTTTGTTAGTTTTGATTGTGAGCCTTAAGGCCTACACCTAAGGCCCCACAAAGGCACCTTTCAAACTAACTTCAAACTCATCTTGCAGCATACTAAGCAACAAGAGATCACCTGACAACCAACACCAACTAAAGGTGCCATTCACCCTCGAGGAGCTGTGCGAGGGGCCATCCACCTTTTCCCTCAAACAGGATGTGTAAGACCTCTGTGTTTTTAGTAAGGATTAATGAGAGTAGAGGTGGGAATAAGGGAACATTCATGCATCATCATGGAATCATTGTTTCTAATTTCTCATGACTAAAATCTATGATTTTGTGTGACTTTTTCTAGTTTGATCTATTATTAACGATGAGGTTTATGTCCCTATTGAGTTGTGGTTTTGCTCACACCTTTATAGATATTGCAGGTATTGAACTGGAAACTTAAGGTCATGGTACAATAGTTGGAAACTAGAAGTTACCATTAGAGTTTTCATATGTAATAAAAAGGTTTTAGACAAAAGAACAAGGAAGCTTTGTTGTATAGTTTGTGAGTTGTAAATCTTTATGTAAATTTCTCGTATCACTAGACTTCCGCTCCAGAATTTAATGTTTAATAAATGCTTTGATTTCATTTTATTTGTTTATGTAATTTTATGGCATCTTGAATATAGTTCCTATTTTTATAATTGGGATGTGATTCACACCTCACTCAAGGAAAAAAAATTATTATCCCGGGTCGGGGGCGTGGCACGTTCACCTAGCCCACCTAGACCCGCTTAGGTACCCGTCTAGACTGTCTAGGTCACAACTCTCATTTAAATAGAAAATAGATAACTTGCATTTTTTATTTTGATTTTTCATTAAATTTTAAAAGGCTTACTAGATACTTGGATGAACAATCCCATGTTTTCAATATGTTCTAGTACTTTATAATTTATATGTCATTTCAATTTGTAAATTTTATATTGCAATACAATTATTATTTTTTTCAAGTATAGGTAGACATTTATTTATGTTAAGTAATAAATTTAATAAAAACTTTAAGAACTACGTAGGCCCTCATCGAAATGCCTAGACGCTAAGTCCATATCCACTGACTAACTAGTGCCTAACTTATTTTAAAACTTTGCTTTGAAGTAGGAAACTTTTGCTTACACCATTGGGGCAAGTGTGTGTCTGCACGGCTCGTTAAAACGAACTTGCCACTCAATTGCCTACGCAACTAAAAATGCTAAAAAACGACAATATCTGACACAACACGTTGCACGAGTTAACAACCATTTGCAATCTAAGCACAAACCCATAAGTTTGACAAAAAATGAATCCAAGCCCATCACTGTCTTGAAAAATGTCACCTCAAATTTGTCCAGGACTAGGAGTCCAACCCGTATTTTTGGGCTTTTAACCTTCGGTTCTCCACGTCGCCTTTCCTTAAAGTCCATCTTCCAAAAAGTCAGGTACTATCAGTTCGGTTCGGTCCGTTTTATTCAGAGTTTCAGGTAATTTCTTCACTTCGATTTTGAGTTTGATTTTCTTTTTCTGATTCCTGAGGTTCAAAATACAAAAAGAGTTTAAGAGTAATCTAATTGGAACTGAAACTGATAATATTTGTTCTTTTTTGTTTAATGTAAGGGAAGTTTTTTGCTTAATTACACTAAAAAGCTCGATGTTTTTTCATGCATATTTTGGTAGGGTGGCACGTCAGATATCTTATTTGGGTTGGATTTTCAGCACTGGAATATCGAGTTTATTGTTGAAGATTATATTAATCAAATGGAGCTTGACAGGTATTATGGGCAATCTTTACTGTTTAATTGTTTTTACTTGTTTGTTGAAGCTGGTGAGATTTTGTGTTGCAGATTAAACTCGCCCACCACGTTTACTATGAGTTTGGAAGTTTTGGGTAATGAGTTACAGTTTGCTCAGGCATGTCGTCTTCTCCTTCTTATCGTGTTTTTGTTTTTCGGATTATTGTTACGTGCCAAGAAAGATCTTTGGAATCAGAAATTGTTAAGGTTAGCGCTTTTGTTAAAAGATATTTTCCGAATGTTTACAAAGCAAGGAGAACTAACAATGCAGTGTATGGTAGTAGTAGAGGGACCATAATGTACTTTCTGTGTAGTGACTGCTTTTGCTCTTCACTTTTCTGTATGATTATTTTCGCCAATCCTCCTTAGACATGTTTACTCTCTACCATGGCTTGTAGGTATACTATGTTCTGTTGCATGAGTTATCCGTTATCAACTTTAATACTGGCTTTGTAATCGTATATGGCCTAATAACTTCTTCCCTGACCGTGGAATGTTTTATCTTTTCCGTAGGATCCCAATTCAAAGCATTTGGGAACTACAGTTTGGGATGCCTCATTGGTGTTTGTCAAGTTTCTGGTAATGACTGTTACCCCCCTAGACACTCTTGTTCAACTGCCGATCATTTTAGTTTCCACATTTCCCAAACTCCACACATATGCATGTAGGTGAATTTTTATGGTTAATTTTAAACTTGTTAAAGTTTGGGGCCTTTGCACCTAGTTGAATGCAACATTTGGTTATTTTAGGAACAGCAGGGATGTTCATACTTAAAATAGATGTGTTTATGCACTCATGATTTGAATTTGATCAAACGAAAGGAAACAAAAAACAACCAACTTGTTTAGGTAATGATATTCCCATTATCATTCTAAATAATTCTGTAAATCTGAAAAATTGAAGTGATAAAAACTACAACTAACATATTATTGAGCAGCTGCTATTTAACTTCGTTTTGGTTCCTTGGAATAACAAGGGATTATTCAACTCATTCATTTGGCGTGAAAGGGACGCTACAATTTAGATTAACTTTTTGAATTGAAAGTTAGATGCCCCAGCTGCTCCATTGACTAAGAAGGGGGAGCAACTACCTAGGCCCTTCGTTTATGTTGTTGCCATTGTTTCCCTGGGCAGAGCTGGACTTTTATTTCTCAAAAGAGCCGGCAATCCCTAAGGCTGCTACTTTCCTGAGCCTGAAGAAAATTTTAATGATCAATCCCTGTTGAGAAAATGATTTTTGTGCTCTAGTTATATATTTTTATGCTGATGGTGGAGTTAGACTATCCTTTCGGTTAGGTATTTGATTTTCTTTGGTTCCAGAGCACATCATTTGTTTATACATACTGTACTTCCGGAGCAGATTTTTATTTATAAACGTACATGTGACCTTTTTGGTTATTCCAGGAAAAGAATTGCAGAAAGGGAAGGTTCTCCCCATCTAAAATGAAAGGAAAACGCGTCATTGAACTTGGAGCAGGTTGTGGAGTAGCTGGGTTTGGTGAGTTCCTTTTTTCCTGTTAAGCTTATGTTGAATTTTATCTGTATGATTTTTTATGCTTTTCCTGCTTGAATTTTGTAGTTCGATTTGCTTACTCAAGCGTTTTCCATCTGATTTTCTCTTTCAGGCATGGCACTACTGGGCTGTGACATGGTTATGACAGATCAAGTGGAGGTTTTGCCATTGCTAATGAGAAATGTTGAATGGAACACTTCAAGGATCGCACAGATGAATTCTGGTTCTAGTTTTCTTTGAATCTTTTGAATACCATGTGCATGTATTAGTTCTCATATATGCTTGTGTGTTCATATACATGCATTTGGTGTGCCTTAGCGCGATAATTACTAAATTATTTAGCTGTAGGAGGGCATTACTTGGAGTCTTGGAGCTACCCATAAATCAATAAAAGAGTTACGGGGATAGAACTGGTGGTTTCTGAGAGATTTTACAAAAACAAGCACCTTAACAGCCTTGATGGATTTTGTGTTGGGGAGAGAGACCATGACATATTTATATGCTAAGATTTAATATGGTGTAGTTAGGAAGATAATTACAATAAAATGGACCTGTCTTGTCACTTCGTATGCAATTATATGTTTTGTTTATGTCCAGTCTGTTCCGTGTAGGAAGTATTAGTGTTTCAACATTAGAACTGCACCAATTGTTTCTGGTTTTAAGTTTATGTAACTGAACTTAACCAAACCAATCGTTTAAATTGGTTTAGTCAGTTTAGTTTCCTTTTTCTGGTTTTCGCTCGCAACTCATGTAAGCTATTTTTTTTTTCTAGACTCATTTGGGTCAATCCAGGCAGCAGAGTTGAGCTGGGGAAATGAGGATCATATAAGAGCTGTTGGTCCACCATTTGACCACATCATTGGAACTGATGTTGTACGTTCGTTTAATTTCCTCTGAAAACTGAAACTTTGAATTTCTTCAGTTGTTTATTGATCTACAATGGCAAATAGTTATATCTATGGTATTTATTGTGACACGATAGTTTTGGATTTCATTGGTATTCAGTGTGAAGGATTGTAACGAATTACATCTGGGTAAGGCTGGAGTCCCTGGATGTACAGAAGGTTTTAAACAGAAATGAGCCATTAATTGGTCGACCACAGTCCAAACCATGTCCTTTTCACCAAGATGAAGAGTTGAATCTTTTTGTTCTTTTAGCGTTCATTTCCCAAGGGTACTGGAAATGGAGCATCATGCCTGGATATTCAGATTGAACTTCTATCTTTAGAGATTTAAGTAATGGCTTCTTTTTAGAAAGGACAATAAAACTTTCATATGCGGGTAACTCAGTCGCACTCACTCTTGATATTGCTTCTCCAACTCAATTTACGTACTTCCTTTAGGATCACCCGTCTTCTTTCCTCCTCCCATTTCTATTTTCCTTTTGTTTGTTTCAGGATTCCATAATAATATCGGTCTTTCAAATGTCATATTTATGATGTTTAGTCCTTTTTTTAATATTGTTAATTAGTATTAATTAAACTGTGCTGATCTATTTTCAACTTTTTTGGATTTCGGGTTTATAAAGAAAATCTCTTGGAACCACTGTTGCAGACAATACATGAATTATCAGGGCCCCAGACTACAAGTTATGTATGGTACTTCAGAGATTTTAGTTTTTATTTTTATTTTCTAATCATTGTTACTGATGCACTGGTTTGTTTCAGTTTTGGGAAGATGGGGTATGAGATTCAATCGACAGCGTCCATGAGCAAATGCTTCAAATGTGGAAATGAAACTTCCAAGTGAAAACTGTTCCAAATTCGAAGGTACAGCATAGTTTTTGTAATACAGTATATAGAATCATAGATCCAAATACTTGTCAGTATTAACATTTCCTGCATGTGGTTTGCAAGTCAAACTCCTGGTTCCTGTGACATGTAATCAATATCTGAATATGAGCTATGGCGTTGATTGCATGTGATGTTAGTATATGGATTGAATTATTGATATTCTTAGGGGACGACGTATTGCAGGGTCTTGTGTCATTCATGAGGGACCACATATGAGATTGAGCTTGGGAGAGAAGGTTCACTCTGACCTTTGATTTTCCTAAATACGATGTTTTTTTTTCTTGTCAAACTCCTGCAGATGGACAGTACCTACCAACATCCAGATATTCCACTTTACGTTATGACATTAAAGCCTCCTGAGGAGTTTACAGAAAACGCAGTTGAGGTGATTGATCCGAATGAGGGTGAAGTGGAGACTGGTGCAGAAGAAGCGGCTAATGCGATGGATCAGAAAGTTGATGAAGTGGATACAAGTGCAGAAAACGCAGTTAATGTGATCGATCAGAAAGTTGATGAAGCCGAGAGTTGTAAGGAAAAAGGAGACGGTGGTTCCCTCGATGAAAAGGTTGAGGAAGACTGAGCCAGCGACAGGACTTCAGAACGGTAAACTTACTGATTGGGAAGCTAGAAGATATGGTTCAATGGCTGCACGGCTTCTTCACGACATCAAAATTACCTAATAACGAGGTTCGGTCTTTGTGATTTTTTCTGCTGCCTTGCTGCTTGCGTTGTTGGGCTCAAGTACTCATGCTTTAGTTTTAGTTATCTAGACGTCTCTATGTTTATTAGTTCGATCGCTTCCTTCTTTTTTGTGGAATGCCATTCTCCAAAAGGAGTCTTGACGTGTACGTAATGTGTTGTGTTTTATATAGAAATTAGAATGCAAAGCTATCACCAATGATCTTGATGACTTCTTACATTTGATCTTATAACACTCTATTTGGGCTACAGAGATGTTATTTGTGTGCAAAATCAACAACTTTTAATGGTCATAAAGTTCGAATATAAGAATCGGAGGACGTGATAAACCCATTCCACTATCTTATACGTTCACCATTTCTTTGCGACTATCTTAATTTCTTCAAATAAATATTTTCTTCATTTTCTATTCCTCTAGCTTAATCATATATAGTAGTTGGTCAAAAAATTTATTAATGAAATAATTATTTTAAAAAAAAAATTAAAAAACGAAATGGAAGACTAGAGGAATTGGGTTCGGAGGGGTGGGATTGAGTTGTCGCAAATTTGGAAATAGGGCATGAGGATGAAATTTTGGGAATGGAGCAGAAGCAACAAAACGAAAATGAAGAATTCATATCAGAAGTATCTTGACAATGAATTTTATTCCTTGAGAACAAAAAAGGAGAAAAACTGATGAAGGTGTATTTACATGCAATGCAAAATATACAAACACTATATTGCAGCAATCTGAGAATGGTTGGATTCAATATGGTAATGAAGAATTTGACTGCCATTTCTGCTTGCGTGTGAGGTTGTATGAGATAAGTTGCTCAAAATCGAATATCGATCGATGTATAAACCCAGGTACGAGATAAGCGGGTCTGCCCGGGACTTGTCAATAACAAACCTCAAGTACTGAGATTTTACGGTTGGAAACTGCAGAAGCCTCTGATATCCGATTGTGGTTCCGTTGACGACTTTATTCAACTTCCCCTCCTCATTGAGGACCTCAAGATGGAACTCGATAACTCGCTGTCCCATTTGAATCGGCTCTTGAACTTGCAGAATGTTGAATGACACTAATTTTTTAAGGTTCAAGGATAGAACCCATTTCGACTGGTTTCCCTCAGGAGCCCAATATGAATCAATACCTTCTTGAAGGACATTACCGGGGGTGAACCAAGAATGGTTACTGCCTCCTCGTGTACTGCTCGCGTTGATAAGGGCCGTTTTGGCCAGATTACAAGAGAATATCGACTTCCGGAGGTCATTGAATTCTTGAAGCACTTGAATATCTTCTGCAGATATGAGACCTGAAGAGTTTGGAGGTACATTGAGTAACAAGAGACAGTTTCTTCCAATCGATTTGTAGTATAGGTCAAGAAGGGTCCTGGCGGATTTTGGAACTTCCAATGAATGCCAAAACCAACCAGGCCTGATTGAAACATCGCACTCAGGTGGTACCCAATCATGCCCAAAGGGATCTCCTCCACTTGAGTATCTGTTATATAGGCCACCGTATTAACTCATAGCTTCGATACTTTGGAGAAGATAATAAAGTGCATAGAGAGAAAGGTGCTGGTTGCAACTTCACGGGTTCTCTTACTGACTCACACAGGATCTTTTAAGCATATATAACCAGTGCAGATAAGTAGATGTGTGTTGTCTGATTGCATTGCATACATTTAGGGGTGTGATATCCACACCCCCCTTTTTACTTCTCTCACACCCTTTTAATTTTCAATCGTCGGATCAAATGAATTGAAGAAGATCAAAGGACATAAATTAACCAGGGGCGTAGGAGAAGTAAAAAGGGGTGTGTGGATAGCACACCCCTACATTTAAATGCATATATACATATATTGATCCAACTGCTAGAACAACAAAGAAAAGATAATGGAAGTTAGAAGAGGGAACTCACTGGTAATCAGTGTCGCCAATCTTGGCATCACTCCGATTGAAAAGGGACCAACAAGTAGACCCAGCAACGCCAGCTTCATCCCCAACCCACCTGGTGTCAGGACCGGCATCAGAAAAAATGACAGCCCCAGGCTGGTGTTGGTGAATGAGACTGAACCAAGAATCAAAGAAATATTCCATGTCCTTCTCCCCTTCCCCCTTTGCACCATCCAACCAAACCTCCTTAATCTCTCCATACCTGTTCCAAAATTTATAAAAAAAACTCAAAAAACAACGCCAGGTCTTTGAATATTTGTCCTAGTAATTCATCATAAATCAAACAAGAAGAAATTCAAACGACTTCTTGGAATGGCAGCATCAGCCAAGTTTTTTTTTTGGGGCCAAAGCAGAATCAGCCAAGTTGAACAACCACAGATGAATTAGAACATAAACCTTGATAAGGAATCCAAGCCCCAACACCAACCACCAGTTAAAACAAACATCGCAAATATCAAGTTGTAGCCAATAATATTGAGACAAAATACAGATCAATTCCATTTACGAGAGCACGTACAGACTGAATTGCACAGAACATGAAATTATAAACCGAAACCCATTCTTTTTACCAAAAAAAAGGCTCAGGTTGTAAATGGTAAAAACTGAGACTTCTAGTTCTAGTGTGGATAATTCTAACTTGGTTCCTGCTCTAACACTTGGAGAGGTACCCTTTCTGCTAAAAGTGGTGTTTTTTCAGAAAATTCTGCTTATTTGTATTTGTTTGAGGAGTTGTTAGAGTAGAAATGGAGTTTCGTTTAGAAGCTTCAGGTTCCTCCTAGAATAAGAACTTGACATGGAAAGCTTCTCACCCACTATGCAGAGGTTTAAAAGAAGATTAGCTACTAGTCCTTGTTGTCCTAGAAGTCCTTCAAGTTCTGAAACTTTGGAACACTTGCTGTGCAGTTATCAATATGGTCTTAAAGTATGGAAATGTCATGCAAAATCCTTAAGAGGTCATGCACTTTTATTCTATGCCTTCGTGATTGGATTTTATTTAATCTGAAAAGCAAGTGTACTTTACATAAGTTGCCTTGGAAGGTGGTGTTTGATAATTTTTTTGGCATTGTCAGAATGGAGGTGTAATCGTGTGTTTAATCCTAGTTTGAGCCTCCTTATGTCAGTTTCAATATCATTCTGCAATGTTCAAGGGAATGGTACGAGGGAAATCAATCATTGGGAGGTAAACCTGTTAGGGCTGTGGTCAAAATGCATTGGGGTCCTCATACTTCTGGAAGGTGTAAGCTAAACATTGATGGAAGTTTTCCAAAAGAGCCTTTTACGGTTGCTGGTTGTTTGGTTTTACTGCTACTATCAGTGTTGGAAGCATAATTGAGGCGGAGCTGTGGGGCTTATGTTATGGTCTACAACTAACTTGGGACAAAGGACTCATACCTATTGATGTTGAAAGTGACTCTCTAGCAACTGTGACTAGGGTGACTAAGGAAATTGATGTAAACCATCTCTTACTCAAATCGATCGAGAAGTGCAAGAGAACCAAGCTACTCATCACCTTGCTTCTATCAGAAGCTCTCTTCCTTCGGGTATTCATGTTGTTAAAGACGTCCCTCCTTTACTTTGCATTCTAGAAGATGACAGTTTCTTTGCTTTTGTTGGGGCTTAGGCTTGCCACTTCACCAAACAAAAAAAAAACACATCATGCAGAAAACTGAGAATCCAGTTTACAATTCACATGATTAACTCATAAAAGCACACAACTTTTAGAGCCTGTTTAGTATCCTTCTTGGATCCAATTTTTTCGTTTACAAAAACGATGAATGTAGCTAAATTACTTGTACTCATTAGTTTCAGAAACAAACATTTGGATCCCAGAAGGATACCAAACAATCCCTTAGACTTCAAAATTGCTGAACACAATTCCAGAACCATACAGTAAGACAAGAAATATTCGATCAATAAAATCAAACAAACCCAATTCACAAAAACTCTAAATACACCAAAAATTCAAGAAATAAATAAATAAATAAAAGTTACCTTGTGAGCAATTCTGTCATTTGACCCATATAGAACTCATTGTACTCCAAAGTCTTCCCATAGCACGGTTCGTGCCGATCCCACGGCGAAAGGTAAAGCCCCAATCCAATGCCTGCGTCCCTGGCCGCCGCCGCCAGCTCACCAACGACGTCACCGCGGCCACTCCTCCATGGGCTGGAGCTCACGGAGTAGTTGGTGTACTCAGTTGGCCACAAGCAGAACCCGTCGTGGTGTTTGGCGGTGAGAATTACGCGCGAAAAGCCCGAGTCTTTGGCGACTCGGACCCACTGAGCGGCGTTGAGCTTGGCGGGGTTGAAGACCGAGGGGTCGACGTGGCCGGTGCCCCACTCGGAATCCGTGAAGGTGTTGGGTCCGAAGTGGAGGAACATTGCCATGTGGCCGAGCTGCCATTGGAGCTGCGGGGAAGAGGGGAGGGGCAAAATGGGAAGAGGAGGTGGCTTTCTGGGTGTTTGGGAAGAAGAAAAGGAGGAAGTGAGAGAGAGTGAGAGGAAGATGAAAAGGGTAAGTTGGGAAGTTGACTTCTTCTTGTTCATGGTGGGTGGGAGAAACTGGGGGAGTTTCTCAGTTGCAGACTAGTCTTTTGTTTTGTTTCTTTTGTTTTTTTTTTAAATATTTATTTGGATCTAAAGAGTGGCTAGTTGGGTTATGAGATGATGTTGTCGCAAAGCAAAGCAAAGCAAAGAGGGGTTGGTTGTTACTTGTTAGACAATGATTAAAGGAGAAGGCATGGGAATAGAACGGGTTGACTTGAAAAATCTTGCATCACGTTTGATAAAAAAATTTCTTCCAAATGGTATGAGCATGATTACAATAGAAAAAAATGTAGCTGGAGAGTTGTATGTGCGATAGTAGTGTAACTTGTGTCATGTGGTGGGAGGGATGTTAACACAATTGATTTATATAATTATAATAGTTATATGTCAATTGATAATCAAGTATATTATGAATCGAATTGAAATCAGTGCGCAAGCCAGAGTTCATGGCCAAAGAGTTTTGTTTTCACTTTTTATGAAAATTGAATACTCATTGGCAACTAGTCTAGTTATAGGAAAAAAAATTGAAAAATAAAAAATACGAGTTTTAAGTTTTTAGTTGTTAAAAAAAAAAAATTATTGGCACTTAAAAAAACTCATTATGCATTCTTTGTAACTGTATTTTTTTTCTATATCTAAAATGCTTGGAGTGCACAACAACACTCAAACTAAAAACAAAATATTTTTTTTTTGTTGCATAAACTAAAAACAGAATATTAAAAATGAAGTGATTA